AATCATGTCTTGCACTATGGGCACAATCTTTGCTGTTATCTGAGAAATTATTTCTGATTTCATTTTTTCCAGATCCTCTTTTGTTGCCAGTGCAGGGAGTCCAAGTGGTTTAGTATCAGAATGTTCCATCTCCTTTCCCTTTGGGGTTGCTGTAGGTGATCTGGAAGTCTGTTTTTGAGGCTTGTTTACATGTCTTCTCATTTCCATGGGGGAAAGAGGGTGTGCTGCTATCACTGCATGCCTCACCTCCTCTGCCCCTGGAGCGGTGGAATGGTGGCAGGGAGCCTCCTCCTGGGTGCTGGGACTGGCCCACCCACCCTGCCAGTTTTGTTGGCTGAAAGTCTAGGCAGTGTAGCAGGAGCTGTGGTGAAATTCCCGTGTGTGAGCAGGAGTAAGCAGTAGCCAGGCAAATGGCCACGTCTCAAGTTGGGAAGCAAAAAGTGTTGGAGACAAGGTCTTGTTAGATTCCCCAGGCTGGCCTCAAACTTGGGATCCTCCTGGCTCAGCCTCTGGAATGGCTGGGATTAAAGATGTGAGCCACCACATTTGGCTCTTTTGGATCTTCATATCAATGGGAGATGCAGCATGTGAAGTTGTGCCTGGCTTCTTTCATGTAACATTATGTTTATGTGGTTCACCCTTGTGGCTGTGTGAAAGTGGAGGTCATTTTCATTACGGAGAATACTTGGGGTGATTGTCCCACAGAATATCAGGGCTTGTTAAACTGAGGCTCTCTGTCTCTTTGCATGCATACACATATATCTGCTAAGCACACAGCTCTTGTGGAACTGCAGAGTCTCCAAGAAGCCACAGGTTCAGCTTTAGTCCATGTTGGCAGCTTCAAGAAGTAGTGGTCTGATTTCTCTCTGACCAGCAGCATTCTAGGGCTCCTGTGGCTCCACATCCTATAAGATTTTTATTCCCTTTTTGCAGATGATGAAGGCCATGACCTCAAGTGCTTTGTCCCAAACACAGCTGGTGAGCTCTAAAACTGAGATTCATCCATTTGTTTAATCCCAAACCCTTGCTGAGCTCACACTCTGTGCTGGCCCTGTGCTGGGGCATAGGACTTGTTAGTCATCAAACTGTGTGGGCCCTCATGAAACTCCTACTTGGGCTGAATCTAATTTGAACTTGGGTCTTTTTGGCACCAATCCTTTTGCCTTTCCACTCTTGTCACCCTGTCTCTGCACCCCGTAGAGCCCAGCAATGTTCTTGCTGCATAATAGGTGCTCAATAACTATAGGGTGAATGAATGAGAAAATGGGAAATCTCAGGGTCTCCTGGAAAAGTTGTGAATGGTTGCAATGTACAGGTCCAGAGTGCTTTCTCTGGTATTTCTAGGCTGATGAGCATCTGAGGGATTTTTATTTTCAGGATGTATGCTTTAGCAGGTCTGACTCCTGGACCTAAATAACAGGGCCCAAGCAGGGGGGACAAATGCAACCTTCAGAGCTACAGTTTATTGTGGAATAGGACAGGATGTCTAAAGGGGCTGGGGTCAAGTTTCTACGGGCAGCAGGAGCCTCATGCTGAGGAGACCGAGGGTCTCAAGAGGTGGAGTCTCCTTCTGATCAACAGCAGGCAGTAGAGGACACTTGAACCTGGTGCGAGGGTGTTGGCTAGACTCATGTTTGGTCAAGTTCATGGGCAGCCACCTATTCTGTAAGAAAAAGGGGCAGCAGTCCCCAGGTGACTTTTCTAACCCTACGACCACACTGAAGGAAACTCTCCATCCATCCATCCTCCAGAGCTGGTGTCAGGAGCATTCATGTCACTCATTCCAAAGGACATCGAATGATTCACTTCCTAGCTTCTACTCACAGGACTGTGAGATGATGGAGGTGGGGCCCCCCTTTCAGCACTTGCCAATCCAGGGAGGCCTCCTGAGACAGATCAGACACTCACCCATCAGGCCTTTCAACAGTTTCACATCCAGTTGCTTGAGGAGATCGCCAACGAGAGGACAAACCTGGTCCAGCAGCATAGAGAGAAGGGTCAGGCCTGGGCCTGAGAGAACACTGGAGTGTGGGGTTTCTAGCAGGAACCAGGGCGAGCGTGTCTGCCTCATACTGAGCACCAGCCACACACCGTGAGCACACACAGCACCCCCGTGCTTGTCTCTCCAGGTGCTCGCCAAACCCTGTGAGACAGGCACTGTGATGGGTCCCCTGCTGAAGGAGAAACTGAGGCTGGAGGGGGGGCAAGTCCCTTGCCCAAGGACATACTGGCAAAATTGAAGTTTTTCATTGGGATTTTTCTGGTTCCACAGCCCAAGGTTTGAAAGCCTCTGCTAATTCGCATACACACACACACACACACACACACACACACACACACGCGCGCGCCCTGGCCCTCAGGCCCAAGGACTCCCAAAGTGCAGATATTTTTCTCAAACGTACCTGATTTTCTACCAGATGTGGGATAACTTTCCCTATGTTCTCTTTGAGGTTGTGAAGAACGTGTTTCATCTTGTATGGGATAGCCCTAGAAAGAGTGGTAGATGCACAGAGCAGAAGGGACCACTCCAGGCACCGTGGATGCCACGGTGTGTGGAGCATGCTTTAAAGTCTTTCCCCCCTGGCCTGGCCCCATGGAGAGGTATCATTGTCAACAACAGTCCAAAGAGGACTCAGAGAGGTGAAGTGGGTGCCCAAGAGCACGAGCAAGGAAGTGCTGATTCTGTCAGAGCTGTGCAAAGATGGCACCAGAGTCCCTCGTCTTTCCCTTACACTGTTCTCCCCAGAATATCTGGTATAATTTACTCTTTTTTTTTTGGTACCGGGGATCGAACTCAGGTTCTTGTGCTTCCGCAGCAGGCGGCGAAACCACTGAGCTAAATCCCCAGCCCCGTCTGGTATAATTTAGAGTCAGTGAACATCTGAAGAATAAATGAGCAGATGTCCATTGAGGTCTTCACAGTTTGACACTTTGAAATTACAGAGATAAATCAGAGCAAATCTTTTGGTCTGTTGAGGTCAACCCCATCAGCCCGCCAGACTATAGAGCTTCATTGCAGCTCTCAGTTCTGTCTCGTTCACCTCTGTGTCCATAGCACTAGGCATGGTGCCTGGCACATCATGGATTCTGGGAAATATATCAGTGATGGAGTGATGAGGGGGGTGCTTTAGAAAAAACAGGAGGTCATCCCAGGCAGAAGGATCAGCTTGTGCAAAGGCACAGTGGTGCAACACTGCCTGGTGTGTCACGGAGGGGTGGGTCTTTCAGCAACGCTGCATGGTAAAGACCTGCAGGGGAGATGATGGGGGACTGGAGTAACAACTTGGAGTCTGCTCTTCATCCCCAGGACATTGGGAAGCTCTGGAGGCTTTGGAACAGGGGCTGGAACACAACCAGATTTCCGCATTAGAAAGTAACTTCTGCAGCCTGGTGGAGAGTGGAGCGTGGGAGTCGAGGTCCCAGTTAGGGAGCGCAGAGGAAGAGTCTGGCTTCTGGGAGCATGGCAGAGGCATCACTGCCTGTGGACCCAGGAGGGGAGTGGTGAGGTCTGTGGTGGACTCATCAGGAGAAGGTGGAGAAGTGAGGCTGCAGCTGGGGCCTTACTCAGCGAGAACTATCACATGGACGTTGGGCTCCGTGTGACATTGGTCCACCACCAGATCCCTCCGGCCAAACTCATCTTTCTTCAGCCAAAACTCTGCAGCAAGGCTCATGCTTGTGTGCAGCCTGGTGCTGTTGTTATTGAAGGGCCTGCAGGAGAGAGGGCAGAAGGTGGGGAGGGAGAGACAGAAAGAACAGAAGGAGGCAGAAGCAGCCAGCACAAAGATGGGTTCTCTGTGTCGGCGAACATACACTGTCCCCTGGCAGGGCCTTCCCTGGCACCTGAGTGCTCCCAACAAACCAGGCAAACTAAACCCTGAAGTCATTGTGAGGGAGAAAGGTGCTATTAACGCGTGTGCTTTTTTTTTTTTTTTTTTTTTTTGCTGTGGAACCCAGGGCCTCCTGTGCTCTCCTGCCAAGTTATAGCCCCAGCTCCAGGATGACTTTTGAAAATCCCTTAAGGAGACTAGTTTAGAAGCCTTTGGAAATTCAAAAGTTGAGGGTTAATCTCTACTTTAAAAATTATTTCCAGGAATAAATAGGACACACATGTGTAAATACCGAATAGTTTCTCTGGTGCGAGAAACTGAAAGTGTAAATAAGGACTAAATGTATAATAGGTAATGTGAAATAGGAAGAAAAGGGGCAAAGGGGAAGGAA